CCTCCAGACCCGCCAGCAGAGGGCTCTTCTTCCCGCTAGTAACCAAGCCGCCTCGATCACTATATATACAGAGACTTCGTTCTACCCCCACGTCTAAGGCAAGGGCACGCTAGGATAGCCTTACTGATGAGTCCTCTAGCGGGCCCCGGACGAAACGTCTCCCCTCTCCTTTTCTCGACCAAACACACACAACGACCGTCGCCAAACTTCTTTATTAAATAATTTAATCATATCGCTAAAATGTCGCAAGTTAATAAATATTATAAATAATATCACATTATTATACATATTTTTAGCACACGTACTGCCGAATCAGCTACGACATTGTTACAAATATAAATAAGTAAAAATGAAAACTAGACAATTCTTTATTAAACAATTAAATCAAGTGTCTACAACGTTGCAAATTAATTTGCTATTCAGCTGACGAGCTAAATGAACCAATTCGTAGGAAACGCGTCAGAAGATCGTTCCCGGATCAACGATTCCAAGAAAATTAAGTTTCAAACGAAAATGTCCGATGGATGCCGCGGTCGAGCGCGGGAAATTCAAAAGCTGCCGGCGATGAGAATCGAATTCAAACCACTGGCAGAGAGCAGTTTACATATTTAATGGCGTGTGATTAAAGAAACCGCGCACAGTGAAAATAAATGCGTAAAGCTTCCGGAAACTCGACGGTTCCCGTGGGATGGCGGCTGATTAGGCGAACAGCGTTGCTCGGCACTGCGTCGGAACTCTCGTACAACGTAATGGCGGTTAATATCTCTATCGATTGGAATTGAAAACGGCGAAATTCCTGATATCCGAGATCGCCGACGAGCATTTGTATAAATTCGTTATTAAAATGAAAATACTCCGGGCCGCCGTTTCGGTTTTACGTTCTCGCTCCGCCATGACCGGGAAGGTTCAAAGGATGATATTTCAGCTGCGCGAGAAATGAACTCGCGAGCTGCGGTCTCCGTTGCATTNAACATTAACCAAAACTAAGAAATTCTTTATTTGATAAAATGATTAGATACATAAAATGTTGCAGATTAACAATATTAGAAACAATAAAAACAGTATTAAAAACATGAATAAATAACAATTCAAGCTACGAGATTTTTTATTACTAAGGACAATATTAACATTATTGCAGATATGGACAAATAACGATTGAAAATAGAAACTTCTTTATTAAATAATTTAATCATATCGCTAAAATGTCGCAAGTTAATAAATATTATAAATAATATCACATTATTATACATATTTTTAGCACACGTACTGCCGAATCAGCTACGACATTGTTACAAATATAAATAAGTAACAATGAAAACTAGACAATTCTTTATTAAACAATTTAATCAAGTGTCTACAACGTTGCAGATTAATTTACTATTCAGCTGACGAGCTAAATGAACCAATTCGTAAGAAACGCGTCAGAAGATCGTTCCCGGATCAACGATTCCAAGAAAATTAAGTTTCAAACGAAAATGGCCGATGGATGCCGCGGTCGAGCGCGGGAAATTCGAAAGCTGCCGGCGATGAGAGTCGAATTCGAACCGCTGGCGGAGAACAGTTTACATATTTAGTGGCGTGTGATTAAAGAAACCGCGCACAGTGAAAATAAATGCGTAAAGCTTCCGGGAACTCGACGGTTCCGGTGGGATGGCGGCTGATTAGGCGAACGGCGTTGCTCGGCGCCGCGTCGGAACTCTCGTCCAACGTAATGGCGGTTAACGTCTCTATCGATTCGAATTGGAAACGGCGAAATTCCTGATATCCGAGATCGCCGACCAGCATTTGTATAAATTCGTTATTAAAATGAAAATACTCCGGGCCGCCGTTTCGGTTTTACGTTCGCGCTCCGCCATGACCGGGAAGGTTCAAAGGATATTTCAGCCGCGCGAGAAATGAACTCGCGAGCTGCGGTCTCCGTTGCAATTTTTCGATCAACTGCCAAATTTTTTTTTTGAAATTTTTGACGGCAAAAGTTATGCATATACACAAAAAATTGTGTAACAATATGATTATATATATAAATTATGTTTCGTTGTTAAAATATTTTATATTTTTTTAAAAGTCCCAAATGGGGATTGCGACAGGTTGCACGAATAAAAAGAAAGAAAAACATTTTTTTTTATTGTGTAAAAAACAAAAGACCGAGTAAGTAATACGTAGTTACTATAATTACATATACTCTAAATTACATATTTATGTATGGTATTTAATTATAATATAAAAACAGAACCAAAAATTGTCATGCTTCAAATATGATAATTTTGTCATGTTCAACTTATTATTATNTATTGTGTAAAAAACAAAAGACCGAGTAAGTAATACATAGTTACTATAAGCTCTACATTACATATTTATGTATGGTATTTAATTATAATATAAAATCCGAACCAAAAATGTCATGCTTCAAATATGATAATTTTGTCATGTTCAACTTATTATTATACGATTATTTATTATTATTATACGATTATACGACGCATATTATTATGCGATTCCCTTGTTAATAAATACACACCAATTCTGTTTAATTTAAAACGCAATAAAATTTCTGTGCAACATGGGTCTATTTTATTTTCTGAAATCCTGTGCCCCAAAGAGTTAAAATGGGTTAATCGTCAGAGCTTAGGTGTAAAAAATGTTTAAAAATGCAACGTTTCGAGCGAAATTCGCCGAAACTGTTCGAGCAAGAAAAACGTCATCTGCGCCTGAACGTTTCGAGAGTTTCAAGTGTTATTACTCGACAAGTACCGTGATCGAATTGTGATTTATTTTCGAGGATGTAACATTCTGCCCCGAGAACAAAGGCCACGATTCGACGGCGGCACCGCGTTTCTATTTTGAGGCTCTTGAAAACAAGCATTGTTTACGGGATGGGAAATATGAAATTGCGTCAGCGTAGCTCCAATCGCGTGTCCGTAAAACAAATACGTTGTCTCGTGAGACAACGTGAGACTGCTCGAAGTATTCGATTTTCCCCCATCATTGTACCCGAAAATATTATGCTTTAATAGCAAATGCGAGTTGTCCTTTCAGAATCCTTGTCGTAGACAGCGAGCGGTGCCATGACGAACAACGCTGTCATTGTTGTTGCTTTTCTATGTAAGCGCGTTCGTTAATAGAACGATCTTCCATTTAATCGGCAAAAATGTCGGATTACGGAAGCAGGTGAAGTCGTATTTTTAAGTTAAAAAGCAAACCGGTCGCCGAAGCGCGCACAAAGTTTCTGTAATCTCGTTGTTCTTCCAGCTTCGTTTGATCCTGCTCCGAGAGGAAACTTTTGTTTCTTAACGGTGTTTAACGCGACACCGGAATCACCGAGCCAATCACAATGATAGAGTTTTTGATAAAAATATTTAGTTTAGATTCATTTATTCGTGAATTCGTGAATTTTTTGATAACGATATTTATTTTAAACGTATTCATGAATTTTTAATAACGATATTTATTTTAAATATATTCATTCGTGAATTCATGAGTTTTTAATAATATTTATTTTAAATATATTCACTCATGAATTCATGCATTTTTGATAACGATATTTATTTTAGATTTTTGCAAATTTATTAATTATTAAACGTTCAAATGTTTATTTTCATATTTATTTATTATACGAACTTTCAGAATAATATACTCTTAATTATTCATGCTTCAAACTCTTCGAAAGTATATAGTTTTTAATTTTGTTTATTATTAAATGCTTACAATTGTTTATTTTCAGATTGATTTATTAGTGAACGTTCAAAATCGTACATTGTTCAATTTACTTGGTACAGGAGATTTGAAATTGTACATTGTTATATTTAATTGCTACCAAATGTTCGAAATTGTACATTGTTAAATTTATTTGGCACTGTATATTCCAAAATTATGTATTGTCACATTAATTTGTTACTAAATGCTCGAAAGTTTATATCTTTTAATTTTAGTCCAGTAGTAAATTTTTATTATACTTTCTAATTTGTTCAGCAGTAAATTTTTATCATGATTCATTTTCAGATTCATTTATTACTAAATGTTCATAACCTTTGAAAGCAGTAACCTTTTTTACAACTGATCTAAACGACTTCAATTTCTGTCAGATGGGTTTTAAAAGGCGTACGAAAACTTTTGCGGGCCACTGTACATGTTTCAAATTTTGTTCGGTAATAAATCTCGAACATCACATATTTCGCACGTAATCTTTAAACTCGTTTATTACATAACTTCAAAAATTAGTTTTCAAATTCACGCATCGACAAAATGTTCGAGTAGATCGATTTCCAAAACCCGTTCACCTTCGAATTTATTTCGTACTATTATTTATATAATTTATAATTATTATAATATATAATTATATTTATTATAATTATTGTAATATATAATTATATTCATTTTAATTATTATAATACATAATTATATTTATTATAATTATATAAATATAATTATAATTTATATTATTTATAATTATATAAATTTACTATTATTGTTAGCGCTATATTAGTATTGTAATTTACACAAGGTAATATTTGAATAGATCGATTTCCAAAACCCGTTCACCTTCGAATTTATTCCGTACTTTAATTTATATAATTTATAATTATTATAATATATAATTATATTTATTATAATTATTGTAATATATAATTATATTCATTTTAATTATTATAATACATAATTATATTTATTATAATTATATAAATATAATTATAATTTATATTATTTATAATTATATAAATTTACTATTATTGTTAGCGCTATATTAGTATTGTAATTTACACAAGGTAATATTTGAATAGATCGATTTCCAAAACCCGTTCACCTTCGAATTTATTCCGTACTTTAATTTATATAATTTATAATTATTATAATATATAATTATATTTATTATAATTATTGTAATATATAATTATATTCATTTTAATTATTATAATACATAATTATATTTATTATAATTATATAAATATAATTATAATTTATATTATTTATAATTATATAAATTTACTATTATTATTAGCGCTATATTAGTATTGTAATTTACACAAGGTAATGCTAATCGGCCGATTTTGCCCTTTGGTTCTAGCGTCGATGAGAGACAACACAGTAGAGAGAGAGAGAGAGAGAATGAGAAAGAGTGAGAGAGAGAGAGAGAGAGAGAGAGGGAGAGACTTAACGCCGTGCTTTCTTTCGATCTTGATCCTGATTTATCTGAACTTTGACGCGTCCATTTGTCCTTCTTTACGCCGCCAACACGCGGTTCCGGCTTCTTAAGCCGGTGGTCGCGTTTCCGGCGTTGTCGTCCACGGTTACCATGTCGTGCGATCGATTTTCATTCAGCTGCAGTTGGTCAGGGGCTTCGGTAATTAATTCGCTGAATCTGGTCGCTACTTGCTTCCATTTCAGCAGGTCAGCTGGCTGCAATGGTAGACGATCGATCAATCCCCGGGAAAATCTATGTAATTTAGACCACGATTTGTTCTCCTTCGATTCGAGGAATCGGTCTTGCGAGCCCGTTAAATCGTAAGCGTTCCTACAACCCGACAAAGTATAATCCTCCCGGTCTCGAATATTAATTAACAAGAGTCCGGACTGATCGATTTCGGCAGCGATAAATAAAAATAGAATCTACCCGACCTACATCCGTTCATTAACTTGCCCCGGAGAGCAACGCTCTGGGCCAGATGACATCAGCGAAAGAAATAGATCTGTTTCGTACAGTTTTGGTATGAAATCCCGAGATTTCCGTTCGGATTTCACCGTTGGGCAATTTTTGTTTTTGGCTCTTTAACGGCAAGAGAAAATTCAGTAGGAAATTCGTTGGGAATTTTACTAGAAAAAATAACTTGGTTGTATTTTACGTACAAATATCTAACAATTTTAATATGTTTTAGAATCTTCGGTATAAAGTACACCAGAAAATTGACTAGGAATTTTACTAGAAAAAATAACTTGGTTGTATTTTACGTACAAATATCTAACAATTTTAATATGTTTTAGAATCTTCGGTATAAAGTACACCAGAAAATTGACTAGGAATTTTACTAGAAAAAATTATTTGTTATGTTCAGATTTATGTATTTTATGTATAATTTTCCATCGATGTTCCCGTATTTTTTTAAATTTTCGATATAGAGTTCGGTAGAAAAATCATGAGAAAATAACTAGAAGATATACTAAGAAATTTGCTATATATAATTACTAGGTCTATTCAGATTTATGTATTTTATGGATAAATTTCCATCAATGTTTAATCAGTTGAAAATCTTTGATGGATGATTTTTCTAGAAACTTCACTAGGAAAGTCACTAGAAAACTTGCTAGTAAATTCGCTAAGAAAAATTACATTTTTATACAGATTTTGATGTCTAATTTTTATATTTAAATGTTCATTAATGTCGATATATTTTAAAATCGTAATAATCCTGACGGGATAAATGTTTTTATTTAATAGTAATATCTTGAATTAGTAATTGCATGCAAGAGAACATTTGTGTATGTTTTAGGAAAATTTCAGCTGAATACTTACACATGTTACTAGACTAACTGGACTAATTCACTAACTGGACAATTTACTAAAAAGTACCGATAGAAAAGATATAACGATGTTTTTGGAACCTCGTGTAGCACCTAGTCTGGGGTGATTAATGGTTTCAGGTTGGTTACCTCGCTAGCAGACGACGAAAATAAGAGATTCCATTAACACTTAACCTGAATCGACCAAGCAGGGCTCCTAGGTTAAAAGAACAGATCCTTATAAAAAAGGTGCTTACAGTAAGAGGATCCAGTAAAAGGGTTTCTTACTGGCTTAATTTAAAATGGCCTCTAGAAAGTCATACTGATAATAATAGAAGAATCTTCTGCAGTACCAAGACTGGAGTGATTAATGATGTTATACCTAACCTAAACTCATTCACTAGAAATTTAGAAATAACAAAGACATTGTTTATAGAAGAAGGCTATATACAAACTAAGGTTTGTATATCTCACTTAAAGAAAAAGGTCACTAGAATGTGAATAGAATAATCCTAATTCTAACCTAAACTCATTCAATAGAAATTTAGAAATAACGAAGAAATTATTTATAGAAGAGAGTTATATACTAAAGAAAACTAGATACAAATTAAGGTTTATATATATCTAACTAGAAGAAAATGGCCATTAAAATCTTAGCAGAAAGTCATATCATAGTCATATCATAGTAAATATTTGGAACCCTACAGGCATGCCAAAATTAAACTATTGAAGCCCTAGGAGAAGCAGTGTAAAATTAAAGAATAACACAATCTGAAAATTTAGCTCAACCCCATCTGGGGGTAAGATAATTTCGAAGCAACGTGTAACCTCCGTGGCCGTATTTCTGGGATTCTACGTCATCTGCTAGTTAAGTGAGTCAAAACTCAAATATTAAAGCCNTCTCTCTCTCTCTCTCTCTCTCTCTCTCCGTGGCCGTATTTCTGGGATTCTACGTCATCTCCTAGTTAAGTGAGCCAAAACTCAAATATTAAAGCCGTAGGGGGCCATTATAATGTGCTAGAATTGGGAAATAGCCCGAACAGAGAATGTATTTCGAGCTCACCCTAAAGTAGACCGATTCAAGAACGATATTCCATTTGTGTACTCATATTTTCGGAGTCGGTGGTACCGCGCTCCAAATATTAAATCCTTAGGGGGACTATTGTATCGCAGAATTAGAGGATTCCGCAAGTGCAGAATTTACATGAAAAGGAAGATGATATAAAGCACAATCTTTAACCTTTATGGTTATATTTCTGGGATTCTACCTCGTTCGCTGGTCAGGTACCATACCCCAAATGTTAAGCCCTTGGGGAGACCATTATATCATAGAATTAGAGTATTCCACAAGTGCAGAATTTATACCTAAAAGGAAGATAATTTAAAGCAATCTTTAACCTTTACGGTTATATTTCTGGGATTCTAGATCGTTTGCGCTAGAGAGGGCTATTAAACCTGAAATATTAAATTCCCAGGGACGATATTATATTATAGAATTATTTATAGCTCAAATAGGGAGAAAATGATTTAAAGCAATCTAATCTAGGTTCGCAAATATAGGGAACAAAACTCTAATGTGGTAATGCAGTATCAATGGTACCAATATACAGACTGCCAAATTCTAGGATGTTAAAATCTAGAGTATTAAAATTTAGGTTGGCAAAGTCTATGCCCCTCAAAGCTAGTGTACCGACGCATGGAAACTAAGATCTAGGGGTGTTAATGCTTGAGCTAGTATTCTAGAGTATTCTTTGGAAGTATATGTTTTCGTGGGGATTCACAAAAGAGAGACCCAAAATGTGGGATGTCACCATCTAAGGTCCCTAAATCTAGGATGCTACCATCTAGGGTCCCTAAAACTGGAATGTCACTATCTAGGATCCCTAAAACTGAGATATCACCGTCTAGGATGCTTAAAAACTGGGATGATATCATCTAGGGTCTTTAAAACTGAGCTGTCACCATCTACGGCCCCTAAATCTATGTTACTATGATCCAGTGTTCCATAATCTATGTTACTATGATCCAGTGTTCCAAAATCTATGTTACTATGATCCAGTGCTCCAAAATCTATGTTGCTATGATCTAGTGTTCCGTAATCTATGTTACTATAATCTAGTGTTCCAAAATCTATGTTGTTATGATCTAGTGTTCCATAATCTATGTTACTATGATCCACTGTTCCAAAATCTATGTTACTATGATCTAGTGTTTCAAAATCTATGTTACTATAATCTAGTGTTCCAAAATCTATGTTGCTATGATCTAGTGTTCCAAAATCTATGTTACTATGATCTAGTGTTCCATAATCTATGTTACTATGATCCAGTGTTCCAAAATCTATGTTACTATAATGTAGTGTTCCAAAATCTATGTTACTATGATCCAGTGTTCCAAAATCTATGTTACCACGATTTAGGATCCCTAAATCAACGTTACTGTGGTCTAGTGTCCCAGAATCTATCACACCGTGATCTGGAACATCAAAACCTGCGGTTCTGAATTCTGAGATACCAAAATCCATGATTCTTAAGCAACATGACGACGAAAACGATCTATTCGCGCGAAGGATTAGTTCAGGATCGAAGAGTGAGACAGTCGGGGGGGGGGGGGGATTTGGGGGGGGGG